GCAGTGGAGGTGTTACTACCCTCACCTCTCACGCTCTGCTCTCATCCCCAACATGACCAGGTGTAAGCTGCGAGATCAACAGTATAACTTCATGACTTTGAAGTTCTTATTAAGGCAGTAGAACTTGGGCAACTCCTGGGGCCTCCTAATGCTTCTTGGAGCCAACCACATATCAGGAGTTCCCAGGACTCTGCCAACACAGGCATTCATCCATTCTTCCCACCAAGCTTTAGTGGGCACATCCTAATAGCCACGCTGCTTGCTAGGCTTTGGGAAATCAGCTCTGTGAGGACAGGCCAGATGTGCCTCATGCAGCAAGCCTGAAGCTGGGCCACATCCATGGCCTTTGACCTGAGATAGCAACTACAGCTAGGGTCTTAGTGAAGAAGCTTCACTGTATCACTTGCCCTACACTGTTATATTTCACTGAGATATTAGCTCATAAGTTTTCTTAAGCTTTTGCCTAATTGCCAACTCCAGCGGACAGTCCTTAGTTCACATTCTATTTGACTTCTCTCTTGCATTTAAACATTTCCTCAAGTTTCCTCTCCAGCATTTTCCATGATCCACTTTCTTCCACATTTCCTCCTTCCCCTGTGAGCACTCTCCTTTGCGGACTCAACTCTCATTGGCTCTTAAATGCTGGGTTTTCCAGAACCATCCCTGGATCTCTTCCTGCATACAACCTGTGTCATGCTCTCGAACTCACATCCCCACAATGTCAATCACTACATTTTTGTCGATAATCCTCACTAGAGGATATTCTCTCCATTGATATTTTTAGAGAGAGTAGAAGGGAGTGGGACAGAAAGAAACATCGATGTGAGAGAGAGACATTGATTGGTTGCCTCCTGAAGGTGCCCCGACTGAGACCAGGGATCAAGCCTGCAACCGAGATGCCCTTGACTGGAATCGAACCCAAGACTCTTCAGTCCTCAGGCTGATGCTCTAATCACTGAGCAACTGGGTAAGGCTCAACTACTGCCTTTATCTGAGAAGTCCTAAATCTTGGCTTCCGGCTCATTTTGGTCATTCCAGAAGTCCATCAATATTGACAAATCCAAACCTGCTTTTCCTCCTATCTTTTTACCAAATCATCCAAACTAGACATGTAAGAGTCCTCCACAACTTCTTCTACCTCATCCTCCTTAATCGAATCGGTCACCAAAACTCATTTTTATTTCCTAAATAACTTTGAATCTGCACTCTACCCTCCCCATCCCTCAGCCAACCTGTTATTATATCTCTTCTCATCTTATCAGTGGCCTCTTGACTCTGGCCTCTACTCTTTC